TTTAAAAAGATTTTATAAATTCCAACCAAAAGTAGTAGTAGCTGCTTGGTCAATGAATGTCGAATGTTTCTTTATAAGGAAATGGCTAATATTGCCATTAGCATTAGAGATGAGGAGAACAGATACTACACTTTGATCATAGACCATTGAGCAGAGAGTAAAGAAAAGTGTAACTCAAGTAGCACTGGCTGCTTGGTCAGTGAATGTTGAATGGTTCTTTATAAGGAAACAGCTAATATTACCAGGTGGATACTAGAAGAAAGGTTTATTGTACACAATAAGTACAATATAAAATACAGTACAGTTATACACACAGGTCAGTCTAGTAGTGAAAATTGCCACTAATTGGAAGGTCGGATGTGCTTGCCTCTTCACTCTCACTCTCTTCTCTCCTGTCTTCCCTATCTCTTGTAGACAGTTGACGTTATAGGTACTTACTACCTATAGTGTAATCATTCATGAGGGTGCTAGGTTATTCCATTACATCACATGTTGAGAGTGTATGAAAATAAAAAAATGTGGATAAAAGAGAAATACTTATTTGGTTTTGCTCCTTTGCATGGTTATTTTTGTTTTTGTTATATTGGGAATTCCAAAGATTTTTTTTTTTTGTTTCCACCAAAATTGTGGTTGGTTTCTTTCACAGGTTGCTGCTGCTGCTGCTGTTGCCATTACCATCACTGCCACCTCTCAATATGACCACACATCTCAATGACCATTACCACTTCCAGGTTTGACTAACTACCTCAACTCTCCAGTTTTGCATTGATAACATCTCAACCTCATCACCTCAGCAAACATCATGATCAGTTCACTATCCAGCTTTGACACCACCCAGACTTCATCATTGATGATGCTGTCACCTTCGCAAATGTCAAACTTGATAACATCTCCATGTCGGCACCTCCAAGCTACAAGCGTTCCTCATCACCAATGCCATAACTGTAGAAGTCAAATGACTTACCTGCTAACATGGTTGCCTTCTTGTATCACCTTGTAAAGGCAAGCCAGCTAATTCTACCTCATTTATAGGAGAGTACCTAATGCAGCAGGTGGGTTAGTCCACTTTGCTAGAATGGACCTGCCCAACACATTTGCATGAGTGGACTATAACTACACAACCAAGTTACCACCACAAGCAGTGACTTCAACCCTGTAACCAAAAAACTTTGACTCTGCAAGCAGCAACTTCAACTCTGAAAGCAGCAACTCTGACTCTGCAACTGAGTGACTCTGACTCCACAAAACAACAGACTCCAACTCCACAAGGAAGTGACTCCAACTCTGCAAGCATGCAACCTACCAACATGACACCAATCAACCAATATGCACCTCATATCAAACCCACACAAGAATTAGGTTAACTCATGGTGCTGTCCTTACACCTGATTGCTATCCTGATGACCATTCACTGAAACAGACATTCCAAATATCCTTCAAAGTCTTTGTATCACCTACCAACAATAAACATTGTTCAAAATCTAATCTTTGTTATTCCTTTCTCTTTCTACCATATGCTTAATATAACACCGTTTAAAAAACAGAACATATTTTCTCTAAATCCCATGAATGAATAGGCCAGTAGACATAATTCAAACCATTTAAAAAAAACCCCAAAAAAACAGGGTATCTACTCAAATATGGGTATCCATAAAATTTGAAGTAGCAAGAAATAATGGTAGACTGATTCCTTAGGAATTCAAATATATCTCTGATTCCTACATACCACAGTCTGTTGTATTTTCAGCCATTTCTTTTTAGCTCTCATTTTTTCTTTCTTCTGCATTCCCAACTCACGAACACCCGCTGATATAAACATCTCAGTTCCATATACAAGGTAGCCTGCTGCATTTTTGTTATTAAATAAAAGTTAATAACCACTAAATGCTATTTGCTTAGTTTAACTCAGATAATATTAATAAATTATTATAATATATAATGTCTTTTCAGAAGGCTTTTTTTCCTAATAAACAGACTTTCACAATAGTATGTTGTCAGTTATTTCATAAACAAATTTCTACAAGAATTTTAACATAGACTGCAGCATGGGGTCAGAAATGAGTATACAGAATGGGATCAGAAATAAGCATACAGAATGGGGCTTAAAGAAATGACATTTCATAATCATTTTAGAAATGATTTTACATACAGAAATTTGATATAAACAGAATGGGATCATTAAATAAAACAGAAAAACTATTTTTGAGCATATGGATATTTCAGAAATGAGTATACAGAATGGGAATACAGAATAAATCAATATAAAAATGGGGCCAAGAAATGAGCATACAGAATGGGGCCAGAAATGATATGTTATACAGCATGGAGTCAGAAATGAGTATACAGAATGGGATCAAAATAATATACAGAATGGGGCCAGAAATGAAAAGTATTTTTTGATAATGGGATCAGAAATGAGTATACAGCATGGAGTCAGAAAAAGTATACAGAATGGGATCAGAAATAAGCATACAGAATGGGGCCAGAAATGAGTATACAGCATTTTACAGAAATGAGTATACAGAATGGGATCAGAAATTAGCATACAGAATGGGGCCAGAAATGAGTATGTTTTTAATAGGATCAGAAATGAGTATACAGCATGGAGTCAGAAATGAGTATACAGAATGGGATCAGAAATAAGCATACAGAATGGGGCCAGAAATGAGCATACAGAATGGGGCCAGAAATGAGTATACAGCATGGAGTCAGAAATGAGTATACAGAATGGGATCAGAAATAAGCATACAGAATGGGGCCAGAAATGAGTATGCATAATGGGATCAGAAATGAGTATACAGCATGGAGTCAGAAATGAGTATACAGAATGGGATCAGAAATGAGCATACAGAATGGGGCCAGAAATGAGTATACAGCATAGATCAGAAATATGTTGTCAGTTATTTCATAAACAAATTTCTACAAGAATTTTAACATAGACTGCAGCATGGGGTCAGAAATGAGTATACAGAATGGAATCAGAAATGAGTATATAGTATAGATCAGAAATGAGTATACAGAATGGGGCCAGAAATGAGCATACAGAAAAGAACCAAGAAACAAGGAAAAGAATACTAAACTGTTATGTGATATCTGTCCGCCTGTATGACAGTAAGTGCTGGATGATCTCAAAGATGAAGAAGAACTTGAAGCAACAGAAATGTGGTTCTAGAGAAGGATGCTGAGGATACCATAGACTGAACATGTGAGCAATGATAAAATTTTAGAGAAAATAGAAACAAAAAAGGAAACTTATATTTAACATCTATAAACATGAGACATGTAGAAAAAGAAATTATTTTTATTTTTGTATTGCTTGATTTTTATTGGTTAAGCAGACTTCATGTACATTTGACTTGTTTTCTTATCCAATGAGAGTCAAACAGCACAAAAATAAAAATAACAGAATGTTTTTTCTTCATATCTTGTTCTCTGATGAAGTTTTAATAAAAGTGAAGTATGTTAGATCTATAAATGTTTCCTATTTGTTATTTATCCTATATATATATATATATATATATATATATATATAGTCTCTCATAACCTAACAACCACACAACTAAATCCTCTACAACAAAAAAACAATGCAGTGTATCAATTTACATGCCCATTCAGAAATTGTATCTCTGATACTAATAATAAACCCACTACATATATTGGTTTTACTACAACCATGCTTTCCCGTAGACTTACTTGTCACCTTTCTGATCTTAGTTCTATTAAACATTTCCCAGAAAAACATAGTCATGTACATAATATTAGATAGATATTAGTTGATAACACAATAGTACTCACACATACACACAGTAAAAAAAAACTTTAGATATTGGAGGCCATCTACATTAAAACAAAGCAATCCACACTCAACAAAATTACATTTCAAACTAGTCACAAGACATTACATTGCATCTAGATATATGGTTCTGTTGTTAATATTTCAGTCTCTCACGTGGTATGGTGTCATAGAATTGCTTCATGAATTTACAACCTGCACCTGCAATTCCACAACTGTTATCATCATATAGCAATCTTCTATGTCAATATAACAGAATATCATATTTGGTGGTGAATATCTTTGTTTAAATATCCATATATTCAATCTGAATATGGCTCATGTGAACTGATAGCTTAGCTCAAGGGACAGCATAATAAAAAAGTATCCAAATGTTGGACAATTTTTGTCTTTATTTTCTCCCAAAATTAAAGCAACAATTCAAAGTTTAGAACAGCCCATGATCAAATATAATAGACATTCATTATCTGTTATATTTAGCAATATATGTCTGAATAACAATCTATATGAATGTCTAATATATATTTGGATCATATGACCATTTTTTGAATTGTTACAGATAATAATTTTGGGAGAAAATAAAAAATTGTCCATATATATATATATATATATATATATATATATATAGATAGATAGATGAAGAAATATAGTTTTAAGGTAAGCTATATTTATGAGATAAAGTGACAATATCAGAGATAGAAAGTGTAAATATAAATATAAAAACCTGATATTGAAGTCAACACTCAGAGGCTGCTTCATGCTGGATGCAATCGGCCTTTGATTGTGTCCATCATGAAACAAACTGTTGCTCAATGGAGTGTTAACTTCAATGTTCACTTTTATATTTATTTTACATGGAAATAAATATAAATATTTGAAGTTTATGTGGTAATTAATAAATTTTAAATCATATTCAAATAAATTACAAACAACTAGGAAATAAATTTGAAAACTTTATTTTATGAAACATATTCAAACTGCAAATATACTGAAATAATACTTTCAATAGCATTTTGGTTTAACAGTTCAAAATTGAAAATAATTTTTTAATCTGGAATCTTTGAAAAAGTAAAATCAAGGAATTCTCATCAACTTTAAACAGTGTTTGAAACTAACGATTTGAATGATTAGTCCTCACTCCACCCCATTCCAAGAGTTGCTTGTCAGGATTTTCTTCCCATGTTTCCGTCTTCTGGAAAAGATTTAACTGAAATAAAAAATAAGAAATAAGAACAAAATTATTGGACAACAGAAACAAAGTTCATTTAGTTTATTAAATAAAAGTAAAGACAATTAATCTTACTTATTATAAAACGCAGATTGTGTGTGTGTGTGTCTGTAACGTTTATATATTGGATCGGATTTCCTACATTTTTCAACCGATTTCAACAAAACTTCACAGGACTACATAAAATTACCTTGTGGTGGTTCTAACAGCGCCAAAAATGGGAAAAAATATAATTGTTTTTGCACAAAATCAATTTGAAAACACGATTAAGAGACATCGTGAAAATGGAAGGGGGACAACTCACATCGGGTTGTTTGTGTGTGTGGGTTACTTTAAATATGGGAGCGGATTTCCTATATTTTTCAGCCGATAAAACAAAACTTCACTTTTTTTTTTTTTTGGCAGGTAGTGTTTCTTATTCTCTTGCACACTTTTTTCTTTATTTTTAACATTCAGAATGCTTTAAAAATTCCATTTACGAGATAATTATTTATAATAAAATTCTATTTAATTGGGAGACTCATAACGATTGAAAACAATGTTTTTGTTTGAGTTTGGCTTTGACTAATTCGTTAAAAAAAAAAAGAAAAAAAAAGACTAATTAAGACATGCATGTCCGTCAACCTTAAACAATAATCTAACGATCTCTACTGATTGTACGAATACAAACATCGGATAAATTCTTTATCTTTAGGGAAAGATAATGAAATCTAAACATACACATGTTCCTAACTAAAAAAAATAACCAGAACGGAAACTACTTTAAATACACATGGTGTCCAATTTTTTACTGTATTCAATAAGTAAAAATCATAAATTGTAAAAGATTATTATTACAGAAAGGCTACTAAATGAATAAGATTTGTTAGATCATAATTAATAAACCCAAATAAATATTTATATTTTTTATTAGAAACAACAAGTGGAAAATATATTCAAATCAGAATTCTAATTATGAATCACCACAAGCAAAATATGCAATTTTTTTTTACTGTATTCAATAAGTAAAAATCATAAATTGTAAAACTAAAAGATTACAGAAAGGCTACCTACATTTTTCAACTGATTTCAACAAAACTTCACTTTTTTTTTTTTTTTTTTTATGTAGTGTTTCTTATTGTCTTGCACACTTTTTTTTTATTTTTTACATTCAGAATGCTTTAAAAATTCCATTTACAAGACAATTGTTTATAATAAAATTCTATTCAATCGGTAGAGACTCATAACGATTGAAAACAATGTTTTTGTTTGAGTTTGGGTTTGACCAATTCGTAAAAAAAAAAAAAAAAAAAAAAAGACATGCGTGTCCGTCAACCTTAAACAATAATCTTTGTCAATTTTATTTTTCAGTCTTTATGATGGTGGATACTTGATCTATCTCTTACTGTTATATCACCGGGCAACGCCGGGCTCTACTGCTAGTTTTCTTTAAATGTCATCATTAACATTATTAAATAACATATTTATCATTTTTTATATTTAGACTTTTGCCAACTTACAGGTAATTTCAGTTTCCATACACCTTGAAGTTTTTATCTTTCTCTGTAAAGAAATACTGTAGATGCCTTTTGCAGTTTTCCACAGAACAGAAATTATTCCTTTACTATTTTGTTCCATCTTCTACCATCTTTTGCCCAACTTCTTAATTCCATCCTCTCATATATTTTTATCTTCCTCAGTAAAGAAATGCTGTACATACCTTTTGTAGCTTTCTAAGGAACAGAAATTTTTCATTTACTATTTTGTCCAATCTTTAACCATCTTTTGCCCAACTTCTTAATTCCATCCTCCCATGTACTTTTATCTTTCTCAGTTAAGAAATGCTCTAGGTGCCTTTTGCTATCTTCTAGGGAATTGGAATTTTTTCGTTTATGATTTTGTTCTCTATCTTCTGTCATCTTTCCGACAACTTCATCATTGGACCTCCCATGTATTCTCAGCAAAGAATTACTTTAGGTGCCTTTTACAAATTTCCAGGTAATTGCAGTCTTTTTATTTACCATTTTGTCTCATTATCTTCTGCATTTTTTCAGCCAATTTCTTAATACACTCTTTAGACTATTTATATTTGAGCTGTTGTTTTTACCTTTTTGTTATCACAACTTTTCAGCCATTGTGTCCGCTGGTCTTCATCAGGTAATTATCAATCTGGGTAACTTGCAGGGAATTCTGAACTGAACACTTTTTAATCTACAGGGGTAGACTGTTCTGATTCCACTGCCCATGTATAGGGATATCTTGTCTAGTTTTTATTTTTAGTGCTGCTCAGTTATTGCTGCCCCCTTTTCCACTGAGTTCAATTACATATTACCCAGCCCAGGAAATGAACTCACAATTACTATAATTTCCTGCTAACTTGTCACAGTTTTTGCCTGGTCACCAGAGTATAACATTATCCTGATGGAACATTTCACTTGTTTTCTTAACTAATTCTTGACATTTTATGTCAATTGCTACCTGCAGTTGATCTAAATTGGGACAGTATTTGTTTAGATTACTAGTTTGTTTCGCAGGAAGGAACTTTTAATATAGGACTACCTTCAAAATCTTAATGTACTCATAGCATCACTTTCAAGAAGATAGCTTTTGGTTCAGTTGGTAATAGTTTATTTTGCTGCTCATGATCTTCCATATTCAACATTGTTGTAAAGTATCCACTTTTTATGGCTCATTACAATTTGTTTAAAAAAATGATTAAATAAATTAAATACTTTTGCTTAACTTATATAAAGGCCACACATCAAAGTGACTAACATTGACAATGCTGGTGAAAATAATTTTTGCAGTATGACTTGAATATTTTGAGTATGTTAGCTTTATTCTGTATTATTCAAATAATGTTCTCTCATGATCTCTATTAGCTTCAACTTGTCTCATCAACCATAAAAAAACCACTGTCCAAAGAAATATTCTTCACAAACCACTTTTTTTATAGGTCTATATTTCTGAGATGAGGTATTATGTACATTTATTTTACATTATTTGGACTATTGTCCTCATCTTTTTCTTCCATATTTATCATTTTCGTTTCAGCCGTTGTATGCTCTGGCCTTCTTCAAGGACACATGGCACAGTGGATAAAGGTGTTTGGTTAGATCCAGTGAAAGGACCCAAAATTAGTGTGAGTTCAATAAAAGTTAAGGCAGTGAAGAACTTTCAGAGGGAAATTAACAGGAGATAACTGACATCTATCAAACATGGGACGTGGAACTAGAACAGTCTACCCCAGTGAGCGAAATAAAGGGTTCAGTTCAACATTCCAACTACCTGAAGAAGGCCGGAGCATACAACGGCCGAAACGTTGTGATAAATATGGCAACAAAGATGAGGACAATAGTCCGAATAATGTAAATAATGCACTTTTGACGTGTATGATTATTGTATATTCTCTATAAACTTCAAGTATTTTTTTTGCATTAATATCTTTAAAGAAAATAAAACACAAAAACATATTGCTTATTTTTTCCCTCATCCAATATTAGAATCAATAAACAAAAATATACCAATGTTGACAAATTAAAAAAGAATTCATGCTGATATAACAGCTGACGGTACAATTAACAGTTTATTAACAAAACTAGAACTTTATGGCTAACACAATATATAAATAAAAATAAAAATAATGGGAGTTATGATAATCAGTTTACCTGGTTACATATGGATGCATGATTATTGATGCTAAAAATAAAAATATCAGTTAATTTATTGGTTATGCAAAGTAGTAAATTTTTCTTTTTTTTAATTGTGTATAATTGTGAAAGAACACAAAATGCAAGCAAGCTACTTTATCCACAGGTAAAAATATTTCATTCACAGGTAAAAGTAACTTTGATTGGCTTGATAATGTCAAATTGGCAGCTGATTTAAAAAATGATCTACAGCCTGTTGTTAACTGGTGCAAGGAATGGTATGTTAATTTTAATGACTCCAAAATGAAACTGCTCTCTTTTAATCATCTGAGAGAATCCTTTTTACCTTCCATCAGGCATAGCTGATGTTATTCTCCAAAAGAGTGACTCATTGAATCTTCTCAGGCTAACATTTTTTGCTAATATGAAGTAAAAAGATTATATTGAATCAATATCACAGTCTTCATCTAGGAAAGTTGGTTCACTGTGTTGTGCTAGACAATTTTTCTCACCAGAATCTATCTTACATATTTATAAGACTACCATTCATCCTTGCTTTGAATATTGCTACTACATATAGTCTGGTGCTCCTGCTATATATTTAGAGATTCTTTATAAAATCCAAAAAAGAATATGTAATGTTATTGGTCTTGACCTGGCATCTCAGTTTCAGTCACATTCCCTGTCCTGTTTCTATAAATAATTTCATGGTAATTGATCTGATGAATTTTCCACTGTGGTACCTAGACTTTATAAATTTTAACATAGTACTAGATTGCCAACAAGGTGTCATCATTTTACTGTTGAAATGGCTAAACATAACCATAAGTTCTATGCTAACAATTTCTTCTATCACACTTCTCACTTGTGGAACTCTCTCCCAACTCTTTGCTTTCTAGTCAAATTTGATGTTCAAAAATTTAAATGCAATGTCAATCAATATCTTCTGGCTTCTTAATTCTTGTTTTTTATGGTCTTCTCTGCTTAATAATATATATTTTCTCATATTCTTTAACATTTAGTAATACTTTGCATCTTAGTGGTTTTATTGCCTTGTTTAACAAAACAAGTTAGAAAATAAAAGATGTATATGAAAGACAAGTGAAGAACTTTCAGAGGAATGAAATAAAGGGAGTAGCAAGAATATTTCCAGAATACAAACTCTGACTTACAATGTAACATTCCCTCTGAAACCTTAAGAGACTGAAAAATAACTAAAATCAAAAAATGGTTTTGATGTAGAAAGGTCAGAGGGCAAAATTTGAATCAGTAATTGTGTATCTTGCAAATTTCCATTTTTGAAACATTTGTGCAATCTGTTAAAGAAATATCTAATGTTTAAAAATGCAC